GCTCACAATGTATTCTTCAATAATGTAATTACAAATAAATGATTCTTTAGACGTATGTCAGGATGTTTACTCCTCTGTGACTGATTCGGTATAAATTTTGGACTCAGAAGGTTCCAGTTTTTACTGCTGAAGCAGAAAGACACGTAGACAAGGTTGTCGGCTGCAGGCCAAGACTTAACCCAGAACGTCAGATACTGCAGGCACATTTTACACAAGATAAGTGACACAGATGTTTTGCTTTTTTGAAAGATTCCCTTTATGATTGAAATGAAAGTCTGCGGGTCTTAAAGTTCAACCCTGGGAAGAGTAACCTTACTCCGGTTTAAGCAGTAAAAAATTCCATTGCTACAACAGCAATCTCCTGTAATGTCAACTTTCTTCTATATCTTATATTTGGTATAAAAACTGCACTACAGTTATGTCTTCACCTCCCTCTTCTCTCAACAAAGTGAAGCCTGGGGCTGTGTGTTTTATGAATAGCCTGGAGGAGAAGGGAAGAATTTTTCTACCAAGCCAATTTAGAAATATAATAAGGACTGTGTGTGAAATAGGAGCAAAAGTTACTTTTATATATATTTATATACTAACTGGAACATTTGTCACAGTACAGATGCTAATCCACCTTCCAGCCTTCACCTGCCCAGTGAGACTAAGCCAATGGTAGCTATGTTCTATATCTTTCTTTCTGAGAGCACCCAAATACCAGTGTAGAAACATGAAGTGTCCTGTGTGATAATGGGGAAGAACAGAACAGCAGAGCCTGAGCCACCTCCTGTGCTATATACAGTATTTGGTCATATTTGCAATATCCACAATACTTCTGTCTTGTCAGTAGTTATGAGTAGTATATAAAATCCATTCATCATGAAGTATATCTGTCCCCCTCTTATTTTGGATCCTGAACTGCTGGCTGGCCACTACTGAACAACTCTTTTACTTTTATTGTCTTTTTTCTCTTTGTATGATTATGTCCCATTTTCATTATAATGTAACATCTCTCTTTTGTTGCTTTTCTTGGAACATAGGCTATGCTACATTTTCTTTTCTGTCCTCTGAACCATGATCGGACCATCCATCTGAAAGAGGCTTTAGATAGACTTTGAACAAGCATCTCTGCTGTTTGCTAATAAATGTGCTCTTATTTCACTTTTACAGCTTGGAGTAATCATTTGACAATCATGACTGAAGGTGAAACAGATATAGCAGAACATTCACATAATACTGGTAAGCATGCAGTGCTTGTTTTTTTATGATCAATCAATAATAAGGCATTATGCATTTCTTGAATAGAATTATCCCTGACCACAGGGATAAGGCAAATGTCATTCTCATGTGCCTTTGGTTTTGCTCACCAATCTTGATGATCTCATGCCAACTGCATAAATACAGGTAAAGTTTACTTAAAGGAGAACAATGGGGTTAGGGCTTTTCCCCATAGTTCTCCTTAGGGTAACGGGAGGACACAATAGCGTCCTCCCGTCACCCTAAGCTCAGTATACCGCCAGCTACAGCTGGCGGTATACTGAGACGCTGCAGCTGAAGCGGATCCCAACAATTATGTCTGGAACTGCCCAGCTGTGTGAGTGACAGCTGGCTCTGCCTATCTAGAGGCAGAGCCAGCTGTACCGGCCCCCTCCCCAGTCCGTTCCGCCAGTCAGCGCTGGAGGATCGGAGCGGGGAGGGGGGAATCCAGCCCCTCCCCTGTCACGGCAGAGAGCCATGACAGGATCGAGAAGTGAGCGAACGCCGGTATGTGTTCGCTCACCTCCCGATCTACTGAGCCGACCTGTGACAGTCTCATTGTCACAGGTCGGCTAGAACTATGAGGTGAGTGAAAAGCACTCACCTCATAGTTCTCCTTTAATTCATATAGTTTCATTAACATATGCTATATTATTTACTGCTTTTTAATACTGTGCTTTTTCAGATTAACTACACCCCATATTTAAAATCTGTACGTGACTCGGGAGATGACAAAAGCTGAAGAACTGTAATACAACAGATTCGATAAAACTGCTTTTTTTTTTAACCCTAAACTGAGAGAAATTCACAGGCATTCTGACCTTCTGACCTTCTGAAAGCAGTATATCTTTGTCATGTTGATCTTCTGGCCTCTGTAATAAGTGTGCACATCAAGCATTTTAATTTGTTGCAAGCTTGTTGCAGACCAGGGACTGGTATGGAAGTCACTATGGCAATAGCAGCTTCCCTATTCTTCTCAATACAAGTTTCATTTAAAGCTCCCATGTACCATTGTACATCCATCCATTTTATTGCTTATCTTAACCCAAAAACAAAAATGTTGTATATTACAGCTTACCAGTCCTTAGATTCAGGGCCTGCATTTGTTTTACTCTATGGTGAATAACAAACTCCCTGTCCCTTCATGTCTACACTAATTGAACCATTGAATCTATGGAGGAAGCTGTGGTTGTCACACAGCCTGAACTTCAAACATGTCTACCTTTGTCCATCTCCATTGCATGGTGGAGCGATGGGACTTGCATCTTTCACAATAAAGATAAGATTCTATGTACATTCTTTTCATCTCACAGGAAGTGACAAGGGCACAGCATTTCTAGCAAGACCATCAGGTATTTTTCTGTACTTGCTGAAAATGTTCTCAGCCTTAAAAGGAAAACCAATGCATCCACTACATCTAAGAACTGATAAGCTGCAATAGATAAAATATTTGCTTTGGGTTTACATACATTTTAAGGTCACTTGAAAGCACAATGACTCAAGTAGGAACTGGAAAGCTTAAAGTGCTTTGGTAGTTGGGTGAAGGAGAAATTTATTATGGGGATAACTAATCTTGTGCAGGAGTATGAGCCTGGAGTACGTAAAAAGATAATCCAGAACCTGGTTTGTCTTGGCCACCCTGAAAATTTAAAGAGGAACTTGACCCTACCTAAATAAAATGTCTTATTCCTAATAAATGTCCCTTTATGAAAATAGAAAAAAATATATACTTACTAGTCCATGGAGGCCAGCATTGTCTTCCTTGCAGTTCTCCTTGTGCTGCTCTGCTCCCACTCTGCCTTCTTGAAACAAGATCCCACACATGTGCAGACAGGGCCACAGCGTGTCTGCATAAGCATGAGATCCCCTGCTCATATGCACACCACCTCGGGTCTCTTCCGGGTCTGTGGGACGTGGCAATCACAACGTAGGTCTCTGCCAGGGATCTGCCTGAGACCTGTGGCATGTATGCGCATGCATGAGATCTTGCAAGCTTCTTCCTGGCATGTGTGATGTAGACATCTCAGGAGGCAGTGGGCAGCTGAATTACATTATTCTCGCCTAGATACATTTTTACTGTTAAAAAATTATTTTGCTGCAATTGTGTAATGGGGGTGGGGTGGGGGTGGAGGGAGTAGGAAAGAGAAAGTTATGTTAAGTAAAACAGAGGTGTAAGGAGTATACATAGGCAACAGGGAGCACCTGTATGAATTCTTCTTTACAGTTCATAAACTAACCCTTATGGGGTATATGGACACTGCAAAAAGACAGTTTTCTGTATATGCCTCACAGGTGATAGCCCAAGTGCTGAAGATGCCAATAGTCCTAAATTTCAGTATTATGAAAAAACGAGAAGTGACAATGAAATTGGTGATACAAATAAAGGGTAAGTGATTATTCCATGTTTACATAGGATGGTATTGTATTTATATGTCCCTTATTTTTTCCACAATAAAGCAGATACTCTACCTGGCCAAAAAAAAAAACACCACCTGGATTTCGGGCAGTGATATGATCTGAGGTTGTTTTAGTTGGTCAGTTCTAGGTTCAGCAACGTTATGTGCCCAAAAAATGAGGTCAGCTGCCTCCTGAATATACCGAGTGACCAGGTTTTTCCATCAATGGATTTTTTCTTTCCTGATGGAACGGGAATATTCCAAGATGACAATGCCAGGATTCATCAAGCTCAAATTGTGAAAGTGTGGTTCAGGGGGCATGAGACATCATTTTCACACATGGATTGGCCAACACAGAGTCCAGACCTTACCCCATTGAGAATCTTTTGGATGTACTGGAGAAGACTTTACGCAGTGGTCCAACTCTCCCATCATCACAATAACATCTTGGTGAAATAATGGAAATAAATGTTGTGACATTGCATATGTTTACCGAAACGATACCACAGGAATGCGTGCCATAATCCAAGCTAAAGACAGCCCAATGAAGTATTACAGAGTGTGACTTTTTACACTCACAGGCAGTGTACTTAACACTAAAGCAGAAGACCAACATGTTGATTAGTTCTTGTAGTACATCGCAGTGAGAATAAATAATCTAATCTAGGGGAATAACTTTTTAGAAAGGTCCCAGTTACTATGTACTATGTACGATATGTAAACCCTAACAGTGAACAGTGAACATACTTTGCTCCCTTTTGTCCTGTAAAATATATAACTGAAAGTGTTTTGTATCTGTTCAATAAGTGCAACAAAATGATTTGTTAATCCTGCTGGAAGTCTTGTGAGCTGATAACTTCCTGTGCTCTCTACATTTGCTGACTTACCGGTATTATTTAGCATTGTTCCCCGTTCTCCCTATGGTCTATGGAATACCTCCCCTGTGGAGATGAGTAGAGGGGGGAGGGTTGCATAGTCCTAAAATACTTCCTGTCCTATTGTTACAGTGCTTACTCAGTGTACTGTGCCAGTGAAGGAGCAGTGTTTTCACACTAGAACAGGAAGTGTGTTACTAGCAGGATCACCAGGTGGAAATAACGAGAAAAAAAAAAAAGCAAAAATGCAGCTGCCATATTTAAAGTCTGGTAAAACTAAAATATATTACGTTTTGGGGTTTAGATACACTTTAATACTATTTCTTACTAACAAATACATACAGGAACACACATGATAGTTATGCGTTATTCATTTAATTACATTTGAATGTGACAACTATCAAAATACTTCTATGTGGTTATATGTCATAGCACATGCTGGTTTTTATGTTTATGATCATCTATTTTGTCTTTTTCTATTAGAGATTCAAAGTTGTCTTGTAGAAAGTCTCCCAAGCAAATGGTGGGATTCTTGGAACTGGTGAGCATGTCTTATGTATTAACTAACCCCCCGGCAACCCCCTGGATGCAAACAATTAACAGTTAGAATGCATCTTTACAGATTAATCTCCCATGTGCTTCCACTGGTGTGGATCTACACTTGTGTCTGCAGCCAGTAAAAAGTTGAGTACAGGTCACAAAAGGAACACAGGTCTGCAACTCTGCTAAGATGTATTTCTAAAGTGTAATTTCAGAAGATAACACAGTTTTCTTAGAAGAAAACACATACTAAAAAAACTATTCACAGACCCATCTTTTTTTTTCAAGTGGAATGTAATGTAATACTAAACTATGGCCACTGGATGGAGCTGATGAGCATAAGAAATAAAACGCTTTTTCCTATGCTCATCAGCTTCATCTAGTGGCCATTATGCAGTATCACGTTACATTACATTTGACCTAAAAAGAAAATATACTAAGAATGTTCGTTTTTGTCTCTATGCACACAGAACAAACATTCACAGAGATGAGATCAGAGATTGTTAATATTTGTCCTCTTACACTTACTGTATACTGCTTTCCAGCTGTGTTATGCAGATGCCTTTGATATCTTCCTCATGGTTATCGGCCTTATCTGTGCTGCAGCCAATGGCACAGGTCTGCCTATTCTCATCATTGTATTTGGAGAGATGACAGACAGCTTTGTCCTGAGTGGTTTAAATGTTAATGGTAAGTGGAAGTACGTTTATACAGTGGAAATAACAGTTTATGGACTGCAAGGGAATCCAAAATACAGTCTAGTGGTTCCTGGTGGAGCTGATAAGCATGCAGTCATTACAGCATAGGAGAAATGTGACACTATCATAAGTTAAAGGAGAACTATGAGGTGAGTGCTTTTCACTCACCTCATAGTTCTAGCCGACCTGTGACAATGAGACTGTCACAGGTTGGCTCAGTAGATCGGGAGGTGAGCGAACACATACCGGCGTTTGCTCACCTCTCGATCCTGTCACGGCTCTCTGCCGTGACAGGGGAGGGGCTGGATTCCCCCCATCCCCGCTCCGATCCGCCAGCGCTGACTGGCGGAACGGACGGGGGAGGGTGCGGGTACAGCTGGCTTTGCCTCTAGATAGGCAGAGCCAGCTGTCAGTCACGCAGCTGGGCGGATCCAGACATAATTGTCGGGATCCGCTTCAGCTGCGGCATCTTAGTATACCGCGAGGAGGACCCTAGTTTGTGTCCTCCCGGTACCCTAAGGAGAACTATGGGGAAAAGCCTTAACCCCATAGTTCTCCTTTAAAGTGACACTAAACTCAGGAGCTAAAACTTAAAAATACATTCAAGTACCTTAAGTATTAGCAAAACATTTATCCTATTTGTGTATCACTCAGCTGTAGATCCTTAAATCGCCAACGAGCAAAAACAATGATTACGCCAAACATGCTACATATCACTGCGAATGTGGGAGTGTGAGGAATAATTTTAGGGCCATCAATCCCTGATAACACTAAACTGATGAGCAGTAAAAGCTTTTAAAGTGTCACCTATGGCCAATTTTAGGCATGGTAGTTTTTTACGATTTCCCGGGCGTGCGCAATTTTAAAGCTTGACATGTGTGGTGTCTATTTAACTGACGTGACCCCGTCTTTTATATTTTACCAAAAACTTGGGTACTGATAAATGTTTTATAACATAACTTAGGGAAAACAAGTTTTTTTTCAATATTTTGGGAACTTTTTTCATTAGATTGTAAAAAATAAAAACCCCAGTGGTGATTAAATACCACCAAAAGAAAACTCTATCTGTCTCCAAACATGGTATAAAATTCATTTCAGTACAGCGTTGCATGACGGAATAAACATCAGTCAAAGTACCGCAGCGCTGAATATTGAAAAATGGCCTGGACAGGAAGGGGGTTTAACACCCCGTTCAGCAAATGGTTAAGAATTGCTTGTGATGTAAATTATTTCTTGCAGTTTCAGTGAATAATTCCGGTTGTTTGGAACTCGTGAACATTGATATAGAAGAAGAAATGACTAGGTAAGAAACAGTGCAATACTTCATTACAGTATTCAACTGCATTTATTAATTATCAGCATTTTAAAATTCCAAAGTTCTCCAAAACTTGATACAAATATGAAAAACAATAGGAACAAGAAGAGCAAGTCATTTGTATATTTTCTATTTTAAGGGGTTTAGGAAAGGAGTAGTGAATGTTCACTTAGCTTAGTGAATAGGCCGAAGCTGCGTTCAAATCAATCAAGTCATGTGCACAAAAAAACCCATCAGGTCCATCAGCAGAGGGCGGGTACAATGCTAGTTTACTATTGGCTATTGCAAATTGAAATAGCCAATAGTAATGTCCCAATGCTTTTCAATGGGAAAATTTTTTTTTTTTTCTATTCTGACATCGCTCGCATCAGAATAAAGAAGAAAAGACACAGCGGTGTTTCTCTCCATGGCGGCCAGGAGCGGGAGGCTCCTAGAGCGCCCGGGAGAGTTTTTTTTTCTTTTTTTTTTTTATGACGGAATAAATGTCAGTCAAAGTACCGCAGCGCTGAATACTGAAAAATGGCCTGGATGGGAAGGGGGTTTAACACCGCGGATGTCAACTGGTTAAGAATAGCCCGAACAGCAGTGAGTAGCCTGCCGGAGGTTCGCTCAGCCGAACCAGATGTTGGCTCGGCTGAGTCGAACTCTTTCTGCACTTCGACCCGAAGCCATACGAAGCAAGCCGATGTACGGCTAATTTCAGCCGATGTACGGCTGAAATTAGCCGTACCAGCCTGAAGTGAATAGCCGAACAGTGTTCGGCTCACTTCACTTCAGATCGGTCATTCACTCGGCTGCCCTCGGCAGCTTTGTGAATAGACCCCATAGTGGGATAAAGGTGTAGGTTGCCATTGCTGACTCCCTTCTGAAAATGCTAGTTCACTGGTGCCCTCTGGCTTTAGCTCTTTTTTGACTCACAAACCCTAAACAAATAGTAAGTGAAATGAATCAGAACTCCTGAAAGTCTTTCTTGTTTCACGTTAGTGACACAACAAAGCATTGAAGGTGTTGCAGCAGCTTGAAAGTATCTAGAATTGTTAGAAGAAGTGGTCAGCAGTGACCTCTACTTTAGTGAGAGACCTCCATTTTTTTGGTGCAGGTATACCTTAAACCCTTGGTTCTCAACTTGTGGGTCGTGACCCAAAAGTGGGTCGCGACCCCTTGTTCAGTGGGTCACCGCATACCTTCCACTTTTCTAGGTGAGAGGGTCCTCAGCCCGCCCCTAGCAAAGCACTGTCAGTTCCAAGCAGCGATCCAACAAAATGCTGCCCAGCGCCGAGTGTCAGCTTGAGGTGGGGTGGGATGGGGCTATGGCCGCGAGGGAACTCCATCCATACATTCATTGCTCACAGCTCCAACATGTCCTATAGAGGTGCCTGGACCAGAGTGATGTCACATTCTGGGTCCTGGGACCTCTACAGGGCACGCAAGGGAGCTGTACAAGCAATGCCCATATGGATGGAGCTCTGTCACAGGATCCAGTCCAGTTATCGTAAAGGTAGGGAGACTGGGTGGACCTTAAAAAAAATTAAAACATTTTTGGAGTGTGTATGTGTGTGTGGGATTGTGTCTGTGGTTGTGTATCTATGTCAGTGTTTTTGAGGGCCCATTCACACTGGTACAGTGCGTCAATCGCATAGTATCATGCGATTACCACTGTACCACGCAATCGCACCTACCGTGCAGTGGTGCGGTACCCTAATGCCTTGCATTCCATTGCAGTGTGACTTGGGTCGCGACTTAATGACCAAGGACAAATGTGGGTCCTGAGGTTACACAGGTTGAGAACCACTGCTTTAAACAATTCAGTTACAGCAAATATTACGTATTTCAACATATGCCTGTCTGTATTAAAATATGTGAAAGGACAGCTGATGATGTGAAAAAACATTCTGCTTGAAACATAATATGGTTTGAATGGCAGTATTATATTACTGCTTTTTGTTTTACTCTAAAACATTTTCAGTCAATTTATATTCTTTAACATACCCTTGGAGTGAAGAAAGAGAAAGCAAATGTTGTGTTCATAAAATAATCTTGAAAACATTTCCTCAATACTTTTTTTTTCATTTTCAGGTTTTCCTATTACTATGTGGGGTTAGGATGTGCTGTTTTTGCATTAAGTGTTTTCCAGATTTGGACATTTTTGGTGTCTGCTGCTCGCCAAATTTTGAGAATTCGGCAGAGGTTTTTCAGAGCTGTTCTTCATCAAGACATGTCTTGGTTTGATTCCATCCAGATTGGGACCTTGAACTCTAGACTTACCGAGTAAGCAGTTCTACATATTTAATATATAAAGATTAATCAAAAGCTAGCAATAGTGTATTATGATAGGAGCCCAGGGGCCTACAGCTTTAAGTGGATCTAGACCTTTCCTATTCACATTCCACAATCCAAATGCAGTCCATAAAAAAAGAAAACCAACATGCAAAATTAGGAATGCTGCAATTAATGTGGGGATATGCTTTTGTAATTTATAAGCAAAGAGGTGCTGTATTTTTTAAAAGAACGTGCCATGTAATATGGTGGAGGAGGGGATGATGAGAGCAGGCCAGGGACAACAGAAGACTTTTACCAAAATAGGGATGGCACACAGATGCAAGCTCAAGAGGAGCTAAAGTCAATAGTAGGAGCATCTGTGTCCTCATGAGTAGATTTCACTTAACTTTCCCTCTAAGTGAGGGGAATTACCCCCTTATGCAGTTGTCACAAGAACAACTGTCCCAAGTGGAAGACCTCACCTTACCACTTGTTCTGGGGACAACTCTTAAACAGACATCCCAACCTACAAAAACTAATTTCAGGGAGGTGCCCTCTCCATCCGCAGGATGGAAAATTATGGCTGATAGAAGGAGAGAATCAGGAGATAGCATAGGAGCTAATGCTTCCTCTGCTATCTGCTCTGCTTTTTGTCTTCTTACAGCGGCCATCTTCAGAATAAAAAAACAGATCGCAGGGGATCCCGCAAAAGTTTACTCTGCTAGATAGAGCAGAGTAAACCTTCCTATGGTTCTCACACGGGCGTCAGGGAGTCGCTATTGTAGAGACTCCCGGAAAGTCCCAGAAAGTTGGGATGTCGGTTTAAATTTTGGATTTTCCCTAATTTTCTGAAAATGTTCACCAGGGCAAATAGAGAAGTGAATCTCCCCAGTAGGGACACAGGCAGCAATAAAAACCTCTATTCAAAACAAAAACGAAAAAATCTGTAAACCTTTAAATCAGAGTTTTGAGGCCTTTGCTTACACAGTTATTTCCTATTTCTAGTGACATCAATACCATCCATGAAGGTTTGGCTGATAAGATGTGTATATTTGTGCAGTTTCTGAGTACATTTTTATCTGGCATCATCATTGGATTTCTGCATGGTTGGAAGCTAACATTGGTCATCTTGTCAGTCAGTCCACTGCTTGGCGTGTCAGCAGCAATCTGGACCAAGGTATGTGTGTATATAACCCGATTCTTGTTTTTATCTTTTCCATGTGTTTGATGTATTTCTATTTTCCTATTTCTCTCCAGCTGATTGCATCATTTACATCGAAGGAGTTACATGCTTACGCCAAGGCCGGTGCAGTAGCAGAGGAGATTCTGACAACTATACGGACAGTCATTGCTTTTAATGGGCAACAAAAAGCTATAGATAAGTATGTTAAGTATGTATATTGTACTATGTGCTTATTTCCCTGCCTGGACTTGTTGCTATCTATATTTAATCTTGGGTGGAGAGTGGTGGCTCAAATCACCTGTGATATTCAGAGGGACATCCGCTCTTAGGGGCCCATTCCCACTTCTCTGTTTATGTTATGCACGTTGATGTGTATTGTTAACGCATTGTGCATGAGTTTTGGGGGATATCCCACTATTTCGTATTGGCCATCCACACTGTAAACTGACCCTTCAAAGTCCCTCAATGCATAGATGTGAATATATATGCTCTCTGGTATGCTGCGTTAAAAAAATCTGATATGTTTTTTGGAACATGCACACACATTGAGAATCTATAAAAAATGAATGGAATCATGCAATGTGCATCCATGCAACAAAAAACTTGTATCAGTGGAAATGAGCATGGAACAGTGGAAATGGGACCTTAATTTACAACAAGTTACTGCAAAATAAGGAAAACCGTTAAAGACTGAATGTACAGTCTATCCAAAACTATGTTTTTAATGTTCCGGGTGAGATGCCCTTACAATGACCAGATTGGTGCAGTTGGTGCAAACAAAAGACACATATAACAAACCGTTGAGTAATTCAACCCTAAAACTGATAACAACACAGTTCAACATGTATAACTAATAATCCATCTTTAGAATGTATATGACATTTTAATTTTACAAATACATATTTTTTGTAGTGTGCACATGTGTCACAGAGCAGTATGGCTTTTCTAAGGATTGAGCACAGCAGAAGCTGTTTACTTTTTGGCTTTCTCCTTCTGATTAAAAACTCAGCATTGCCCCTTCTGAGCAGAGCAGACAGAAAGAGGTGAAGAAGAGATGAGTCACTTCTCATTCATTTGTGTGTCTAAACTTGAGCTTGAGCTATAGAGCTCCATTAACCATATGCTTTTTTAGGCAGAACAGCGGTTAGGAATAGCCATGCATGGTAAATAATCATATACAATATTTCATATTTATAAAAAAAGTATATATTTCACATATGAATCAACTAAACAAAGAAAGGCATAGGCCCAATGCCCAAATAAAACGTGCAGCATATAGGTTTATTTGCCATAACTTAATAGATGAGGTGTGCACTGGAACTACAGTCACCATAGAGTTTTCAATTACAATGACTATCATGGCAATGCTTGTTAAAGTGTATTTAAACCCAGCAACAGATATTTAATATATTACAGCTTACCATTCCTGGTGGGTGCATTTGTTTTCTTTTTTTTCTAGGCTTTTTCCGCTTTATTTTCACATGGTGATCCTGCCAGTCACAAACTTTATGTTCTATGGCAGCCTTTCTCAACCAGGGCTACTGATGCAAAGGGTGACTCTGATGTGAAGGGAGGAAATTTTGGTTTAAGGGGGCATGCCAATGTATAGGGGGAAACACACTTTTTTGTGTGTTTTTATGCATTTTTATAATAAGTGCTATCCTTGTTGCACTCCTTACCGATAGGTCCCTTGTAGTGGGGGGGTGCTCGCAATGACTGCGGATGGCGCCACGAATGTCAGCAAAATTGTAGAAATGTCACCAGTCCTTTTAGGATAGCAAAAGCTTCATTTATTAAAGTTTTTTTCTCATATGACCAACAAGCGCTTTCGGGACTAAAGCCTGATGAAGGGACCCTGTGCGGTCCCGAAAGCGCTTGTTGGTCATATGACAAAAAAACTTCAATAAATGAAGCTTTTGCTATCCTAAAAGGACTGGTGTGCTGGTGACATTTCTACAATTTTTATGCATTTTTATGCCCCCCTTAAAATATATTACATTTTAAACTGGGATGCCTCGAGATTTTGCTTACTTTTAAAGGGTGCCCTGACTGACAAAAGGCTGAAAAGTGCTGTTCTAGGGTGACAAGGCTATCTCACTGTCCTATATGGATGATGAAGTGTTGTCACTCTCGGGCAGGACTAAAATAACCCACTCATCTTCTGCATACCATAGAGGAGTGTGGTTCTGTAGTCCTCAGAAATAGCTGTATTTCTGTAAAGATCAAGTGGTATTTTTTGCTCCTATTTAACAGATATAACAAAACACTTTCGATTCAAACAAAGGGAAAACCATCACTCCAAAATTCCCTGGATCAACTAGCTGCACGATCTCTCTCCAGGTGCTGGTATGTGAGGCTCACTGCTGCATTGAATAGCTCCACATTAAAGATTCAACCGCACTATGTATAAATCTTCACCAAATTAAAAGTTTCATTTACAACTTGTATCACAAAGTGTTATGGTGATTGTAAATAAAACTTAGAATTTGGTGAAGATTCATACAGAGTGCGGTTGGATCTTTAATGTGGAAAACACTTTCAATCATAGATTTAACAGACCAAATAAGAAAATAAGAGAAGGTCATCGTTAGGGTTCACATATACTTCACCTTAAAAGAGAACTATGGGGTAAGTGTTTTTCCTCATAGTTCTCTTTAGGGTCACAGGAGGACATATACTAATGTTATGGTGATTGTAAATAAAACTTTGAATTTGGTGAAGATTCATACAGAGCGTGGTTGAATCTTTAATGTGGAAAAAACTGACTGACAGTCGCTCCTCACTGCAGGGAGACCATCAGCAAGTGAGCAGATCGGCAGCATGTTTCTGCTCACGTCCTGATCAATAGAGCTGACCTGTGACACCTTCTATGTCACAGGTCAGCTCTATGTATAAGGATGAGTGGATCACTCACCTCATAGTTCTCCTTTAATGCCTACACTGCAACAAAACAGCCACACTTGGAAAAGGATCACAATCAACAGTCTGTATGCAGACTCCTAAATTCCCTTCTATCCTAGGTATGATGCCAACTTGATTGATGCAAGAAATGTTGGAATAAAAAAGTCTGTAACCTTAAATGTGTCAATGGGCCTGTCACAGTTTCTCATATTTGGAGCATATGCCCTGGCATTTTGGTACGGAACAAGACTGACAGTGGAGGAACCCGAAAATTACAGCATTGGCAAAGTATTAATTGTAAGTATGATTTATTAACTAAATTGTTACTGTTTGTTGGGTTACAGAAGGTGGCACTTTTTTATTTTGCCATTGCAAAATAAAGTCAATGAGATTTTAAAGGACCACTTTCATGTGGCAGAGTTTCACTACAGTTTGGATGATGAGGGTTGACAGGAGCCCTGACCCAGCACTGAGGACTCTGTCCTGTGTATTTGGACAGGTGGGGTAATTTAGGGCCCTTAAGGTCTTCGCTTTCTAGAGGAGCACAGACTTTTTACTTTGTGAAGTTGTTTTTCACTTAGCATAGTGAATAGGGTGAAGCTGTGCTCCCTTCAGTTTATCCAATCATGTACAAGCAAAAATCACTTTTTTTTATTTCACTTGTACATTTTTTGGGTATTCAAAGTGAACATTCTCTGTTCCTTTAGTAAATTAAGCCCCAAGTGTGAACTAAAGGTATATATAGATACGTCACATACATGTTAGATGCGCAGGAGTTGTGTTTAAAAAAGATTTATCTACAAACAAAACAGACCCGCATTGTGTAGCCAAAAATAGATGGGTGGTCATGCCACTAAATGACATATACAAAAATAACATACACAAAAAAAGATAGTAAATTAAACATCCTAGCAGGGCTTGAGTAATATAAATATAATCACTGGGAATCATGCATGGCACATTTCCAAGTGCAAGAAAAACTATTATTCTTTATATATAGATATATATCTATATATATCTATATATAAAGAATAATAGTTTTTCTTGCACTTGGAAATATATTTCATACTGAAAAATTCAATTAGTTCATAAATTGGTTGATTTGAAGAAGACCCCCAACATTTTGGTGCACTATTTTCTTCAATAAAACCCATAACAATGCAGTATTAGAAATATAAATATTTTCTGTAAATAAATCATTGCTATATATGATGTTTTTTCATCTGTAACTGCAAGGTACAAGCTCAAGCTCAAATTTGAAACCTGGTTTCTGGTTCTTGCCACACATCTTTTTTAGAATTTAATAACTATAAGAAAAATAAGTTCAAATGAAAGCGTGTGATCCTCCTCCACTCTAATGCTTTTTAAAGTGAACTTCTTATTAGAGAAGTATAGGCCGTAAGAACAACCAGAGAAAATATTGACGCTGACCTTGAGCTTAGCATATATGAATGGGTGAGAAACACAATTATTCATCAAGGACATCTTACCATGAGTACTTCACAGTTTTCTGAACACAAAAATGTAAAGAAAGGATGTGTATATATCTTCATATTTTACTTTATGCTAAGTAATAAGTGTCTTTGGTATGATGTATTAATACATAAATGTATTAAGAGGAAACTATAAGCAGTTTGTAAAGACGGTCAGTTTTCCATAAAGAAGATCTAATCAAGCTTACAGCTGATTCCATTGAAATGTACAGTTTGGGTGGAAATGCCTGTCTGTTTCTGATCCCTCCGAAGGTAAGATCACACACTTCCTAATTCATTCCTGCTGCTGATAACTTTGCTTGGAGGAATACAGTCTGTTGCAATGTGGTATAATGTATTCATAAAATGAATACAGATGAAGATCCTTTTTAGGAACAGTAATAAGTACTTCAAAGTAAGGGCAAATTGCTAAATCTCACTCAAGAGATTCCAGAAGTTAATGGGTGAACCAGTGGAGTACCATTTTAAATAGTAACATTTTCAGATTCCCATTTTGAGGCTAGATAAGTATACAGTAATCAAATACTGAAATTATGAAATTCTGCAATGTAAATCGTGCAAAATATATATCCAGTCTAAACGTGCCCATATTCATGAAATTACAGCCCAATCCATGGCTATATTATGTGTATAAGGCTGCTTCAGAAAGTCCTGTTCAATAGATTTTGGGGAAGAATGTTATTGGACAGGTCAAAAGGTATAATGTGGCTGCTATTGGTTTGTGAGGTGCTGGGACTGTTTTCTGAGTGAGAGCTGTGTCTTCCCACTGCACAGCTTAAACAGGAATGCTTATATGAATTGAGCATTGCACTTTGTAGCTGAAGCTGTGCCAGACAACATTTACTGTTCTGATATGGCCACCATAAGAAATATTTCATTATCTTATGACATGTACATAATTGTATTATGGTACATTTACTGTATATTGTATGACATCCAATATGACACATATGTTACATAGGATGCTTTTTTTCCACAAGGTATTCTTCTCAGTGTTGATCGGAACATTCACACTTGGACAAGTTTCTCCAAATTTAGAAAGTATTAGTAGTGCACGTGGAGCGGCTTTTGAGATATACAACATTATAAACAAGGTAACAGTAGGTTAAACCATTGCAGAATGGTGATACGCATATTAATTACTTTAGATTTTCTTGTTATCTATTGCTCAAAGGAAAAAAGAAACATTGTTATTCTTTATAAAATGCCAGTGTATTCTAAAAGCCTATGCAATCTGGCGATATCACAAAATATAAACACCAACCAAACCAACACATGAAGAGAAGGTCCTGTTGTTACAAACTTCCAACAAGGTCCTGTTGTTACAAACTTCCAATTTGATATACAAACTATTTGGATGGTCTCCTATATGTGAAATGGTTCTCTGGAGTTATGGGAGGTCTTTTCAACTATCTTGGACCTGTTCTTGTGCCCAAAATAGCTCCGCTTTGCCTCAATATTTTATTTTTCGACAGAAGAAACACAATGAAAAAAAGAAAAGAAAAAAGAAAGAGGCAATTCAAAAATAACAATCAAATACACAAACAAAAAAGACACAAAGAACACTAAATTAAATAAATGTAATTATCCTTATACACCTTCCAAATAATAAAATCTCTCCATTAAATAATTTTTTTTTTCTTTAATCAAATTTTTAAAAGTGTTTTTTTTTATTTTCTTTTCGTCACATCGATAGTGGCTCCTCTGAAAAAAGAAAGAGGCAATTCAAAAATAACAATCAAATACAGAAACAAAAAAGACACAAAGAACACTAAATTAAATAAACTTAACTATTATATATTGTGTGTATGGCTTCTAGTGATCCCCTCCTACTACTTGACCATGCTAATGTGGAAGAATCTGAAATGCAATTGTATGCTATACTGATTGTGCATCATGTGCTATTTTATTGTTTTATGTTACCTTGGAAAATTAATAAAATACTTTGAAAGATAAATTAAATAAACTTAATTGCCCTTATACACCTTCCAAATAATAAAATCTCTCACTTAAATACATTTCTTTTTCTTTAAACAGATTTTTAAAAGTGTTTTGTTTTTTTTCAGCCTCGTCACATCGATAGTAGCTCCTCTGAAGGGCACAAGCCAGACAAATTAACTGGACATATTGAGTTTAAAAATATTCACTTTGCTTACCCTAGCCGCCCAAATGTACAGGTATGACCCAGTTTATATTTATATTGCTTATCATATGAAAAACTGTAAAATAGTATGAAGTTACAGAAAAGTATAAAATAAAGCTATATTTGCCAATCCCTGCCTATATTACTTATTCTTTAGATCCTTACTGGTCTGGACCTTAAGATACCAGCTGGAAAGACTATGGCTCTGGTTGGCATGAGTGGCTGTGGGAAAAGCACAACTATTCAGTTATTACAAAGATTCTATGATCCACTAGAGGGGGAGGTATGACATGTCTTGTTATGGAATTTCACATTTCTCTTTTATGTGTATTTTAGAGCATGTAAAATAAAAATAGATGAGATGGCCTTTAAGACATTTGGGACAGTTTACAGTTGCAATGAGCTATACTTTGCTAAATTAAGCAGCATCTAAACATGGGTAAATGATTTAGGAAAATAATTTATTGCTCCACCACAGTTATTTTTTAAGGATAACTCTACTTTAAACACAGTTATCTTTTTAATCTGGACCCTCAGCAACCCTCCCCTGCCCCCCAAGTCTTCCACTTACTGTATCTGTCTATGTTCCATGGAGATGTTTGGCTGGTAGAAGCTAAACAGCCTTTTTAACAAAAGTCTCTTGGTCAGGATCTGTGGTTGTGCAGAAAATCTCCATTCATTCCTACAGGACCCTCAACAGTTGACGACCTTATCTTAGCAATGAATGAATGAATGAATGGAGGTTCTTCCGCACAAGATGCCAGCAAGAAGGATAGCTGTTTTAAAAGTACAGTTATCTATTAAATGTTGCATGTAGAGACTGTGAAATGTTTTAGCACAGGAAGAAATGAGGGGTTAATCTTAACTTGGAGAAAAGTAGTGACCTCACGTACAGCCTATGCTTAACATCTATGGAACTCCACAGGAAAACAAGAATAACACAAGAATAACCTTCAGGACCGATGCCGGTATTTGCAGGTGTCACAAGGTTATTTTTGATGCCTCATGGGCCAGGTTACTTTAAACTGACACATATTGTGAGTTTATATAATTCTCAATTTTCAGGTCATGGTGGATGGACAAGATATTCGTTCACTTAATGTTAAGTGGCTAAGAGACAACATTGGTGTGGTCAGTCAAGAACCAGTCTTGTTCGGGACAACCATTGCTGAAAACATTCGCTTTGGCAGAGAAGGAGTAGCTGATCAAGAAATTGAACAAGCAGCCAGAGAAGCCAATGCTTATGACTTTATTTCCAAACTGCCTGATGTAAGTGTTATTTTTATCATTCAGTCCATGAAAAGCAGCAATGATGTGCAAACTGAACCTGGTTTGATGGGTCATTACAAATATAGTATATGTCATTACATCCGCAATGTACTTTGTATATTTAATGCATATTTTAATGTCAAACATCAAATTATTTAAAAAATAATAATGAACAATTCAACACAGAAAAGCCAGGCAGTGTATGGCCTTGTGAAACAGCTGGCTTCTCCCCATTTTATGTATTTATGTATTTATTTATCTGAACCCCTCATTCCAGCCATAAGATCTTTTACTATACATATATACATATATAACACACTCAGGTCAGGTATCTTTGTTGTAATAGCTGTCCAGTTAGATGCAGTAGTTTGCAACTACTTTAAAGGGCCTACAGACTGCCAAGTCTCTGCTGCCAGAGAAAATAGGGGTCGAGTAGTTGGGATTCATGTGCCTTTATTGTGACATTTAAAGATAATTTTTCCAAAGTGCCAGCATCTATGGAGGTCAATAGGATCTTTTTTTAAGCTTGTCTACTAATTGTTAAGGATATTTAAATACTTTTGCAACTATTTTAATGAAGTTCAGGATAAAATAATGATTGCTTAGCATACTATTTATCAGTGAACAGACTCCGGACAACGAGACGCTATACAGTCCATAATGGCAAACTTCATGCACAAAATAATAATAAAACAAACAAAAATGTCATAGCATATAGCACATGTTGTCTGTTGTCCTGCCCTAGGATGATAACGCTGCTTTCTCATAAATACAGTATGGGGAGTGAGTGTTGTCATCCTAAAACAGGAAGTGTGTTTATGGCAAAATCACCAAGTACAAATGTAGGAAAAAACGAGGAAGTAAACTAAAACTAAGGACTGTTAAGCTGCAATATACTATGTTTTGTTATTGGATTTAGATACATTTTAATACATGCAAGTGTCACATGCCTTTATACTGTCTGCCTGTTATCACATCAGCCCTAATGCATGTACATGAGTAAGAAATCACTGGTTAATTTTTAAGCTTCACAGAACATCACTATAAATGACATGAAACCTGGCCATCTAGATTATCTGTTTATACCATCCCTAAATCAGAGGGATGCAGCAGTTCTATTAGGAAATCTAAGTTTGTTCATGTTCTTTCTGCAGCAATTCAACACAATGGTTGGGGAGAGAGGAGCCCAGTTGAGCGGAGGACAGAAGCAGAGAATAGCCATAGCACGCGCCCTTGTACGAAATCCAAAAATTCTGCTTCTTGATGAAGCTACATCAGCTCTGGACATGCAGAGTGAGGCAGTTGTACAAGCTGCATTGGATAAGGTAACTTGTTTGATACAACATGTAAAAAAAACACCAACATTTACACACCAAACTTCAAAATACATGTTGCTTGTCTGAGTGTTCTTATGTTTACAATAGAGGGGTCAAGCTTATTGCCAAAATGATGCCTTTCAGTGGCTAACTACAAATATGCAAAATGAAAACTTTCCTAAAACTAGGTTCCTTCTCTGGGTGAACTGAGATGAAAGTTGAAGTAGCAAAGTGCTAAAAATAATGATATTCAGAGCAAAGGCACAGTATACAGATAAAATGTAAATCATCAGCACTGTAGTGTGAGAATCGAAAAGGCTGACCTTATTGAAGCACTACAAAGCAGTTAGATTACATAAGAGGTTTTAAAGTAGAACTATGGCCTTCCTCTAAAAAATGTGCTACAGTTTTCACTTATTCCCCCTGCAAAGTCTCACAAATACCTGTCCATTCTGCCAGTGAAATCTACCTGATACAATTTAGCTTCGTGTGATAGGGTGACAATGCTGCTGAACTGCTCCTGAAATCAGAGCAGCACTGCCACACTTATTTAGGCTTTGCCTGATTGCTTTACAGTGAGATGAGAAGATGTTGCAGGGTGTGCTGCCATCAGCATTGTTAATGCTAATTCCTAAGCCTGTAGTTTAACTATAACTGGCCATACTTAGTCCTGTTCAATGCTTTCTGGATTGACAGCACTGTGTCTACTTCTGTAACCCTTCCACTGTGAGCTGAAATGTCTTTGAAGGGTGCATGTGAGACACAAATGAAGGAGGATTTGGCTCACTAGGGGGGGTAAGGTAGATTTTGTTTTTCTTTTTACTCTAGGAGCTTGTGGATCACATATTAATGATATTTGAGACCTGTTTAGACTGTCACGCAGTAGCCCTTAGATGTCCTATAAATGCTGTGCTCAAGTTTAATTGTTGTACTAAACATTTTTATTACTTGTGTTCCCAGATTATACTTTTTTGGTGCAGTTATGGAATTTCTGTTTACTTTAATCAGTTTCATTTCATGTGTGCCTTAAAGTGACACTATACTCAGGAGTTAAATCTTAAAAATGCACTCAAGTACCTTAACTATTAACAAAAATGTATCTTATTTGTGTATCACTTAGCTGTAGGTCCTCAAATCATCTCTAAATTGGTGCTGACACTGTCCTTCCTTCTGGAGGGTCGCTACTTTTGTTCCCCATGGTCTCTGTGTGTGTCGTAAAGTAGTCACTGCTCAAAGCTTGCTCCTGTGATGTACTACAATCACAATACAAATTAGTAAACTAAATTTGAGATTGTAGTCCATCACAGGAGTGAGCTTGGGCCAGTGGCTACTTTACAACACACACAGGGACCATGAAGAACAAAAGTAGTCACCCTCCAGAAGGAAGGACAGTGTCAGCACCAATTCAGAGATGATTTGAGGATCTACAGCTGAGTGATACACAAATAAGATACATTTTTGCTAATAGTTCTGGTCCTTGAATGCATTTTTAGGAATCAACTCCTGAGTTTAGTGTCACTATAATATAGTGTAAGATAGGCTTGTAGAAAGGCTTGCCCCACTGGATTGTTACAGTGATTTTCTTATATTTTAAACAGAAGGTGGTCAAGTCTTGTGCACAGTTTGTTCCATATCCACACCGTATAGTCTTTAGTGGGGCATTTTGTGATCAATTTCATATAAACATTTGATGATAAACAAGAGAGGGCTTATTTGAGATGTACATTTTTGGTTATTTTATCCATGAACAAGATATGTGGGTATTTTTTGCATTTCTTGTTCATCCATGGAAATGTCCCTGCATAAATGGCCTCTATAATCTTTCATAAACTAAAATACTGTAAAACAGTAGAAGCAAATCTGTGAATATTTTCAGTGGTCCTGCACACCCCTTGTGAGTCAGAGCTAGAGCCCTTCATTCAGCAGAGAGCATATGCTTTCTTGTTTGCAGAGTTATAGGTTTGACTCAGTAAGGGGTGTGTTGGACCTCAGCAGAGAGACCACGCTTTCTATACAGAGAGAAAGGTCCCTTATCTACAGCATATTGTACAGGCATTGCAACTCAAGCTGTGAACTGTAAAACTTAGAACTCCTTTATTTGCACCTGGAATTTATTTAGCTGATTTGAATTGAAAGTTAAATTGGACTTTATGATATTAATTGGTGTATACTAATTGGTGGCATATAATCATAGAGATGTATATGGCTATATGAAATACATTTTTTAGTGTGTTGCTGACAGCCTGCTACTGACAGCTGGGCGGAGCCAGCCGTCATCTCACGGCTGGCTCTGGCCACTTGCAGAGACAGATCAGCGTCCCTGGTTACCAGGTAACCAGGGACGCTGATCTGTCATTACACTGAGAACACTGATATCACGGTGGCTTCGCCGGGTTCTCAGTGTTTCCAGGGACGCCGATCTGTCATTACGATGAGAGCTTAGCAGAGCCGGCGGTGATATGAAAGCGGACTCTGCTAAGCTCTCATCCTAATGGCAGAACAGCGTCCCCTGGATACTCTGTAAGCAGGGGACGCTGTTCTGCCATTAGGATGAGAGCTTAGCAGAGCCGGCTTTCATATCACCACCGGCTCCGACAAACTCTCATTGTAATGACAGCTTGTCCCGGCCAATAGAAAACAGTTGGGTGGAGCTATCTGTCACTGCTAGCTCCGCCCAATCCTTTTCTATTTTTTTCCACTTTTTTTTACTGTTTTTCTATTCTGCTCGGTACCACAGAGGTATCGAGCAGAATAGCCGGGCTGAATGCCGCTCAGCGGCATTCGGCTATTCACTCACTGCTGTTCGGCATCTATGAGAATAGGCCGAACAGCAACGAGTAGCCTGCTGGAGGTTCGGCTCAGCCGATCCAGATGTTGGATCGGCTGAGTCGAACTCCTTCTGCACTTCGAGTCAGCATGTTCGGGCCGACCCGAAGCAAGCCGGTGTACGGCTGATTTTAGCCGATATACGTCTGAAATCATCTGTGCAAGCTTGAAGTGAATAGTCAGCGTTCGGCTCACTTCACTTCGGGTGGGTTATTCACTCGGCTGCCTACGGCAGCTTTGTGAATAACCCCCAAAATGTTTCATTGACAATTTGGACTGCCACATTTTGTTGGTCACAAGATTACAGTTTTGTGAGTTTATTTTTTCTTTTAGACAACATCACGTATATGAACACTTTATGTATGCACTTTTTATACTGTATATTAGGTTTACTGTATTTAATAATATGATATTTTGGGGGGGATGGGTTACAATTGTTTCTTTTTGGACCATACTACTTATTTTAACACTTTATTTATGCGCTTGTTATATACTATATAAGAGTAATTGTCTGGTAATTTTTGGTGTGCTTATTTTAATATTTTTATTTTAAGTTTTTTGTTGGTTTATGTTAGTTAATTTTATTTTAGGAGGATAGAACAGTTGAATTGTTTATAGTAAAATCGATGATATGAGAAGGTTTAAAAAAAAAATTTGAATAATATCTTTTTTCTGTATTTCTGTATTCTAATTAACAAAACACACATGTATATACACTGAGTGGCCAGATTATTATGACCACCTGACATTTGTAGGCAAATTAGCTATAATTAGCTATAATTTTGCGCTGAAGTTGCTAAAGGGCCAGACCATTATAAATAGGGAAGCAGGTTGTTTACCACGACAGTAGAAGTGATTTTTTTTCTGAAGATATGGGTAAACAACGCGATTTAACAGCCTTTGAACGTGGGATGATTGTTGGCGCTCGGACCCATGGAGCCAGTATCAGCAAAACAGCAGAATTCGTTAAATGTTCAAGAGCAGCTGTTGTTAAAGTGTTTAAAGACTGGACTGCCAGCCGAAAATCTGGGTCTGAACGTGCGAATTGTGGCCGTCAGGGACTAGTCAATGTTAGGGCAGAACGGAGAGTGGCAAGACTGGTACAAGACAACAGAGGGGCAACAGTGCAGTGTCAGATTCCTCGCATCACCTTTCAACATCTCGTGAAGTCATCTCGTGGAGTCATCTCGTGGCCCAATTAAGTACTGATGGGGTGGTCATAATAATCTGGCCACTCAGTGTATATATATATATATCTATCTATCTATATATATGGATAGATAGATAGATAGATAGATAGATAGATAGATAGATAGATAGATAGATAGATAGATAGAATTTTTTATGTTTTTTCAATATTATTTGTTAGCCAGGAAAAGGTATCACTTTGACCATATATTTTGCTTTCTCTACCTATGTTTTTATTCCTGGCTATACTTTTCTCCTTTCAATCTCTCTTTATTTGCTGTTTTAGGCTAGAGCTGGTCGCACAACAATAGTCATAGCTCATCGACTATCTACCGTTCGAACTGCTGACATCATTGCCGGATTCCATGGTGGCATTGTGGTTGAGCAGGGGTCACATAATGATCTCATGACTAAAAAGGGAATTTATTATTCACTTGTGATGCTTCAGGTAATTATGCCTCGAACACTATGTCAGAATATGATGCACAATGATATTCCAAGAGAGCAATGGACTATAACATAATATGTTAATCCAAAATATCTCTATTAATGTAAAGAATATTTGAAGAGTTTTAAGTTTATAGATCTTCAAATCATGTCTGAATTGGTGCAGAAAAGACCCGTCCAATGCGAACACCCGGTACCGGGTGTTTCACATATAGGCGATCAGCGGGTCCATAGCCCGACGATCGCCTATATGTGCACGTTCGCGGCACCCCTTCAGCTCCTTGCTGATCTCCGTCCGGGCTGTGAATGCAGAAGTGATGTGTATTACATCACTTCCGCATTCACCTGTCAGTCATCTGGAGAGAGAAGAAGCTGATAAAGCAGATCTCTGCTTTATCAGCTTCTTTTGGGGTCCATAGGTGATATTAGGGGTCCTAGAGACCCCTAATATCTCCATAAAGAGGACCTGTCAGTGTGCCTTTGCTATTATATAGGGGGTTGTTATCCCCCTATATAATAGCAATAACAATAAGTGCAAAAAAAAAAAT